TGTTCAGCATTTAAAATATATAAAATACCTATTGTTTTGTATTATTATATGTAGTTATAGTAAATTAATTCAAATATTGATCGAATTCCTTTAACGAAAGAATGCATTAAGTTCTCTTTTCTTTTTAAATTTAATAAGTGGTATATTTAAGAATGAAATAATAATATGGAATAATATTGTTACTACTTGAACSCTTCATTTAAAAATGTGCATTTAACATTTTGATTTAGAAATGTTTATAAGTTAATTTAATCAAAAATATTTCAATAAKTTTTCTATTAAATTATAAAATACGACAGTTACAAAATGTTCAATTATAATTATATTTAATAATTAAAAAAATATAAAAATAATTCGATTGTTGTTTAAAAGTTTCACACATTTAATTTTCAACTTAAAATTGTTTACGATCCTTATATTTTAACATTTATGTCGTTTTTATTATAAAATATATAGAATACAAATGACAAATAATTATAGTTTTGAAGATTTYCAATGATTTCATATTTACTTTAAGGAATATTGTGTTAGCTAATTATATCTGTTTAATATAATTTTGATAGCATCTTGTACGAAARAAATTTTAATTTTGCATTTTATCTATAAAATCCATAATATTATAGTCTATTATCTAGTTAAATGTCAATATATAATTAATTGCTGGATTAAAATCAATTAATTTTTTTAATTATTAACTTTGACTATAAATTCGAATGCAATAATGTTGATCGCTACTTCAAAATCCAACATCATATAAACTATACTCAACTTATTCATCGTATTTCAGAACTACTTTTCAAACAAATAATGGTGGCTTAAAATTTAAAAAAAAATGCTTGATGGATGAATTGAGATCATATAATAATTATAATGATACTTACATGATCTATTTGTCGTCGGCGATGACGACTGTGGAACAAGTACCGACTGTGTCCTGGGTTCGATGTGCATATTTTTAAGCGTGATGTTGGGTGGACTGGACTGATGTCCTCCGAGGACAAGAAAGTCCAAGTCAGTATTCCAAATATTATCTGAAAACGCACACAACAAGCTTAGATGAGAAAGGYAGTAGATTACATCACGTGCATTGTTTGTAGGTTTCACGGGGAACAATTTATATAGGTATACATGATACATAAAAACATACACTTCTATTGTGTTGCATAGGAATTAGTGAAAATGCGAACCTGCAGGGCATAATTTAGGTGCCTACCACGTATATAGTATATTATARTATTATATAGTACACTTATAAAATGTACCTAGGTGCAGTTAATATTATAATGCTAGGCCRCTATACTGGGTTAATATTCTGGAGATGGACTCCATGCAGGGGTTAAGCGAGTTCTTTTGCACGATCTTAATTAAGAAAAAAATGTATGATGTTTGTAGTTTTTGTCATATAGTATACATGAGTTTATAAGCTAATTAAAAACAAAGTTGTTTGCATAAATATTCCTCACAAGAGAGTAAAAATGATACAATACGCTACACGAATATTAAAAACAAAGAGATGAAAATTCCTACAGCAGTCAACAATTACAGTGAAATCCTACGTTCGTTAAAAAACATTTTACACGCATTTAATGTTTTAAATGCATATGGGTAAATATCAAAAAAAAAAAATTAAGAGCATCCATTTGTCATTTAAAAATATAGTTTAAAGAGTTTCTTAAATTAACTTTTAAAAAAAAAATAATAAAAAATTAGGAGATAACTATTTCGCTAAAATTATCTTCACCACCTGCATTATATCCACGCACCTTCATAACATATTTTCTACGCATACACGAAATTATTATTTACTTGTGGACATGAGACCAGCTTGTATGAGCCTGGCTTCGATCATGAGCTTGACTACCAGCAGGGCGAGTGCTGTGAACGAGTGTAGCGTGGAAGAGGACGGTGGCCCGTGGGTCCAGCAGGATGACAGGCGGCGGCGGCGGACGTCCAACAAGTTTCCAAGCTTGTCCGAGTCGTTGGCCATGTTTCCGGTGCGGAAGACGGCGGTGAATGCAACCAGCGGCACTAGCACGGCGGCCATGCCAATGGTGGCAACGAAGCAGTGAACTTCGTACCTGGGCGGGAGTACGCTCTTCGGTGGCCATACTACTTCCAAGTACTCTGAAATGTTTTTGAAAAAACCAACATTTAAACAGATATTTATAATGTCATGACGTGTGCCACACGATTGTGTACCTATTCAATCAGGTCGGATTCTTAAGTGTAGGCTGACAATATTCTATTGCACGGTGAAAAACCGAATAGTTCCAAAAAATTATTTGATATTATTATATACCTTGGTATGGTTAACTTACGATCTAATTAGAGTACGGTTATAAGTGCAGACATCTCAATATTGACGCTGAGAATATTATAATTATTATAATTATATTAGCAGTAAGAATATTAATTTTTTTAATTTTATAAATGATGATCACTATAGCTGTTCATCGATATATTTTGTATACCTAAATATATATACTTTATCGTGTTAAATTTAGATGAACTCAGCAAATTATTGATTATTTATATCTATAAATTATTCAAACGTCAAAAGAAAAAACGGAACTTTTTTTTGTAACTCTCACATATCCATCATGAATTTAGATATTGACATTTCAGCTTTCATGAAGTCGTTAATTACAATGAAAACTATATTAAAATCAATATTTTACTAGYGAATTCTCACCTCCTTATAGAACTCTCTTGTACATCATATAATATAAGTACTAATTTACGTATAATATTATATTATTCTGTAGGTACACAATTCGTGAAAACAATACTGAATATTAATTAATTGTATGAAAATGCAACGAGGTCGGTCAGGTATAGTTTTCGAGACGTCCTAACAACGATAACGTATTATGCAAAACACACGATGATGGTTGAATAATGATAAACAAATAATGAAAACTAGGCCTATGTRGTATTAGGCTATCAAAAAGTACTCGGTGTAAATGCTATACTACTTTAAATCGAATCCAAAATAATATATAGAGAAAAAAGTTTAATGTGCGCGCAAATTGTTTGACTGGACTTTTGAGTAGGCTATTCGTAGGTACTTATCGTCATCGGTAGGTACGAATATATACGACGTGCTTCGTAATACGCACGTTCGGGTCTTGATAATTTGCATACCAACGCAATTTGAGTACGCACATAATACTATTAGTTATACGGCAAACACAACATATAGACTTGGATCGTGCTGTTCAAGTAATAGTTAGGTGGAATAAGATATATATATATGTCATACGGAAGATCGGTCGGCAGAGCAAAACCGTTTATGATAATAATTTAGCAGTATGTATGTTGGACATATAGTATATATTGTACCGTAAAGTTTTGAGTGTCTTCCGCCTTATACCGGTGTATTATCTCGTGAAACTTTCGATAACTTTCCTAGTACACATTTCTAACTACGTCGTCGTATTCCGTTTGCYTTTATACTTTCCACTACATTTTGTATACCTACCTAAAATCTATATAATACTTTACAATATTGTAATTAACCCAAGCTCTGAGTTTTTTTAAAATTAAATTTACTATACAAAGAATTTGTCTCCCAGAGGAATATTTTATAGCACTGGAATTTTATTATTTTCTTACCGATCACGGATTGAAAATTTAATTGAGATGCAATAAATTAGTTACAAATGTATTTATAGATAATCATAATTTTAGTAAACAACTGAATCAAATAGTATTTTTTTAAATAGATATACTCTATGCACCTGCAATATGTTGAAAATAAAATAAATACAATTCGAAAATATTCCATATAATTCAGTCAAACAAAATTTTCTCAGATTACCTACCATTTAAATTCTAAAATTAGAGTGAATTGACCTATTAAACAATTGAAGGGCAAGATAATTATGTATAACATCTCGAAGAGTTTTGTTGATATTTTTATTAAGAAGCAAATTATGAATTTTTTGAAACTACATTTTTTATAAATTTTAAAATGATTATAAGTAACTTAATCAAAAATAAAAATAATATCAATAAAATCCTCTGAGATGCCCTAGGACCTAAATAATAATTTTAGCTTTTAAATTTTATCACAGGTCATTTAAATTGAATTTTAAAATAACAGAGCAAAATATATTATTGTTACCTAATGTAAAATTTTCAATATATAGGGTTTATAAGACGGAGACAAAAACGTTCTYTATTGATGTATAATAATTATTGTGTTATACATTTTAAACCATTTTATGTGGAAATAATATGGAATTACTCATATCCTATGGTATAAAAGTCCTTCGTTGTTTTGATGTCAGTCGTACATATATACGACGACATAAACCCATGTCACAAGACGACAGAATCTTTGGAATGTTATTACTGCAGTGGCAGACACCCCTCTGTGATCGCACGGAACCATCATTATATTATTATAATACAGGAACTATACGTAAACATCGAATAATTGAAACAGTTTTCGGCTCGTCCGTTTTCCTGACATGCAACGACGAAATTTCCGTATATTTGAAAGGTACGAATATGGCGAATTGATGAATATAATATATGAGATTTTCCGAAATTCATCGGAAAACACGTAGGTAGGTACAACGGACCATAATAGTTGTAGCATTGTATTGTATACTGTATCCTATGCCACGACGAGACGTTATTAATGTCCTGTGTATGCTGCTATATAGATTTGAAAACAAATTCAAATATTTATACACTTCGTATATCACTAGAGCTATGATGTTGACGACTTAGCACATTTTGTTCACGCTACCAAAATTATTATACTCGAATTGTATGATGTAAATTTAATTCAAGAAGACATCTAGATTACAAATATGCAAACATATTTTGCATATTTTTACATGTTTGACATTTTTTGGCATACACACACATATATTGATTCTTTTTAGATTAAGTAGCATAATATATACTTCGTGTCTTAAATTTATTTTTCAACAACCTATAAACGTAGGTAGCGCASACTTCTCGAATATTTCCTGATCAGATAATATAATTAATATTAATATATTGTTATCACCTTATCGATTATAGAATTAATAATAATATTATACGAGTATATACAATATACATAATATAATATTGTGTATGTCGTTCAAACAATACGAGATGTGTACAAAGATAATTGATATTTTTACATCCCAGTAGGTCTATAGTCTATACAATATAAAGTTGAGTACCCCGAGGAGGTTATACATCGATTGTTCCGTAAAAATATAAGAATAATCAATCATACATAGAAGGTCTTACAAAAAACATTCGGCCGTGTATATCACTTATACGCATTATATATTATATATTGTTATGTGTATAATATTATTCATAACGTTTAATATTAGATATCTAATGTTGTCTCACATTATAGATTCTAAAAGATTTATAGCATTATACATAATAGGCAGTGAAAAAATGAAAATAACTAGGAACAATTTTTAGTGATAAAAAATAATATTTTATGTTATCATAGAATAGTATTATTGAATTCAAAATTGTTTGTTAAATCAGTGATGATGTGAATAACCACCCAAGTTGTCGTAATTGTTACAAATCAATTTTAGCATAAGAGAGGTGAAAAATATAAGCGTCATATCAATATTTATTTTGAAATGAACTTATGCTGCACAATTTAACTGTAAACATTTATTAGTACTATAACAAAATCAAATGCATTATTATTAATTATAAAAAACCTCATTTATTCAGAGTCAGCTTAAATATTTTATTTTTTACGTCCATGAAACAATAAAAACAAGTAGGTTTATCAAAACAAGAAAAAATATCAGTTACTGTATTGTTCTTAAACCAAATTTTAAACCTACAGTACGTGTTGACGACAAAATTGCGTAATTTAATTTATTTTAAGCTAACACGGTCTGAGAAAGTTGTAGTACTACAATATATCACTTGAGTTATAGCTATAATAATTTATTCAAATGGGTTTTAAAATTCAATCTAATAATATTTTAATTGAAAATTAAATAAACATTTAAAAACTATTGTATAGAATTACATTTTCAACCATCTTTGACTCGTATTAAAAATTAATTATCCGTAAAGTGTAATTAATGTTATTTATTAAATAAAGAATTTTTAAAAATGAACTCGGAAAATTCAACATTCCAACTAACACGAATGAAACATTAGACCTGCAGGTATTGAAAACATCGCAAATCTKTTAGCTTTCCTACGAAAAACATATCTATACAATATAATTTAAACCTTCTGCTAACAATAACCATAATATTAATGTTAGTGGAAATCGCACAATATTAACACCATATTAATTGTATAATTTTAGTTCTAGAAATCACTCATTATGTATTAAACAAAAAACTAATAACCTTTGCTGTTGATGTTTTTAAGTTCAATAATAAACAAAAAAATTACAAAAATCGCTGAATAGCATTAAATTATTTTTCAAAATATATATGAATAGTACTCTGATAATCAACGTTGAATACCCATGATAAATTTATCGATTGCCAAAGAGAGAAAACCTTTTCTCAAAAACGGATATAAAGTAATTAACACGATAAATAATACCAGTAGTGTTTTAACAATGTGGGTGATTAAATTATTTACATGCAAATTATATAATTTTCTGGTTGAAATAAGATTTATTAACACGATATAGAAACACTAAATGATGACAGCCGAGGGGCACTTAATCAAGTAAATCAAGTAAGCATTCAGATGAGTTGCGAAGTATATTGAGGGTATAATATAATATATTGTCTCACTGCAGTACACCATTGAATTAGGTAGGTATTAAAGATATACATGTGATTTACGACTTAAAATATTTGAGTTGTATTCCAATCGAAATAATTGTATTTTAAATAATATAACGTTATAATATAGGTATATTAATTGTATTATAAATCTGTGAAATGTAATAATTGTATCTATGTGTTGCTATAAAAATAAAATTGTTGTTTGCTGCTGCTGCAGACTTCTAATTTATTGATAATAATAAGAACTATGAATCCTTAAAGAATTGACGTAATTTTGTGAYCGCTCCGAGAATTTATTCCAAGAAAAACCTAGGTAATTTATTTATTCTGGGATATTCCCTAGTGATTTCGTTGAGATTGTTTCACTATTTGCTTTGTAAATTA